AGGAAGGAAGGAAGGAAGGAAGGAAGGAAGGAAGGAAGGAAGGAAGGAAGGAAGGAAGGAAGGAAAGGAAAACCTCATTGTAGTTGTTGTTAAGTGCCGTGGAGTCGCAGGCGACTCATAGAGACCCTACGAAGGAAAGTCCTTGACGCTTGGGTGCCTTTCATCCTCTCTCCAGGTTCATAGGGTTTCCGGAGGCAAACTATTATGGAAGTGGATGCCACTCCTCCTTGCAAGCTTGTTTTAATGGGGAGCTCCATCCCACTGTCTGTCCGCATTGGGTAGCCAACCATTAACGCATTTGACACATCAGTGTCACAGTCCTCATTGCAGTGGAATTAAAAAAAAAAAAAAAATCAGTGGCTTTTTGGAAGCTGTAAATCGCACTAGAGGAGACTGCCCATCTTTAACCCACAGAGTCGCTAGTGGATTCGAATTGCCAGAGGCTCCACCTTTGGGTTAGCAGTGTAACTTCTTATAAACTATGCCAGCCGAACTCCCTAAAATTGCCTAAGCTCTCAGTAAAGATTTGTTGTACAAATTAAGTTCCTTTCGTTGAATGACCTTGAGGACGACTGCAGAATGCTAAACTACAAATTTCACAGTCCTTCTGATATCTGCTTCATTCAACCTGTGTTCTACATTCGTTCCTGCCTCCACGGATTTGCTTAAAATCCGTGCCCGCGCCAGTACCACACTCCCTACCCGCCAAGAAACTCTCCCCGCCCGCGCGATGACGTATTTGTGCGGATGTGGGGCCTCCCCGGGCGTGGTAAGAATGTTGATAGGTTGCTATGGTTACTGCACCCGCCTGGAGCGGAATGTCTCCAAGCAAGTCCGCACATCCCAAGCGGCCCAGTGGATATGGAAGGCAGCTACGCGATTTTCTTAAACCTTCCACGCCACCCACGCAATTGTCATGGAGACAATGCGCTTCCCTTTGGCCCCCCCTCCCTTCTCCTGGGCTAAGTGCATGAGACGCATGCGCATTTATAAAGTGGAGTGGGCAGGAAAACGCGGGGAATTAGCCCTTTTTTCTTTCCCCCCCCCCAAGGAATGCTACGCCTGCGCGGGGGCGCCGCGGCAGGCAAAGGGAAAGGAGATAGAAAAAAAAAGGTAAAGCAAGAGAAGCGCATGCGTATTTGAGGCACCAAGGAAAGGAGCGCAGCGCTAATCTTGCGCCTGCGCAGTTGTCTGCAGCTAGGGCACCTCGTTAGATGGCAATTCTACGCTTGCGCCATAGGCTGTGTGAAACCCGGGCGTTAAGGGCCCAGAGCCCGACTGGTGCTCGGTGCGCATGCTCCATGATTCCCCGGCGGCCGGGGGCGGGGCCCCAGAGATGGGAGGGAGAGAGGCGGGGGGAGGGAGGAGGCCGCAGAAGCTCAAGCCCTGACCGACGGGCAGAAGGGGGCTGCGGCGGCGCCGGTGAGTGACCCACGGCCCAACTCATTCCTTGCCCCCCACGACCCCCAATTCTTTATGGAGACTGTCAGATCCCTCGATGTCCCCTCTTGATCCTCGGCCCCCCCATTATTCCCAGATTCCCTTTAATTCCTGACAACCCCCAGAGCTCCCACAATTTCTGCAGACCTTAATCTTTAGTATTTTATCGTCCCAGCTCCCTCGCTGTCCCAAGAGCTTCTAATTCACCATTATTCCTGGACATCCTTCTAGAGCCCTTCCTTAAATAGGTCTTACAATCACCTCATTGCCCTGGAACCCCTAGAGCACCCCTCCGTTTCTGGTCCCCCATTTTGCAGCACTCTTCTTAAGCATCCCCTTACCCTCATCACCCTGTATTTCTTCGACCCCTGAATTACCCCCTATTCCCTTTCCTGACCGTCCTTCTATGTCTTCATTCTCTAACTCTTGCAGTCACCCATCTTCCACTTTTTCTCGTTTCCCTCCATCCCCCCTAGACCCTCTCAATTGCCTAATTCCTTAGCGCTGCACTTTGCGCGGCACCAGGACACCGCCAGCACTCAGCCAGTGTCAGCTATTATTAGGCACCACTGACTTCCCCCCACCCCGCCCCCAGCCCGTCTCCTCTACCTGCCCCTGGCACCCCTGCCCCCACCTCTGGCCCTTAGGACAGGCTGGTCCGTGGTGTTGGGGCGGCTGGGGTGGGGCGGGCTGCTTAGAGACTCCGCGCTAGCGCCGTGCACCCGGTTCCTGCAGCGCCGGCGCCCCCCATGCGCCTGGCGGCCGGACAGCGGCGGCGGGGGGCGCCATGGCCTCGGCGGCGGCTGGTGAAACGGAGGAAACCACCAGACTGCGCAAACCGCGCTTCTCCTTCGAGGAGAACCAGATCCTCATCCGCGAGGTGCGCGCGCACTACCCGCAGCTGTACGGCGCGCAGAGCCGTCGGGTGAGCGTGGCCGAGCGGCGGCGCCTGTGGGACGGCATCGCCGCCAAGATCAACGGCATCACCAGCTGGAAGCGCACCGGCCAGGAGGTGCAGAAGCGCTGGAACGACTTCAAGCGCCGCACCAAGGAGAAGCTGGCTCGCGTGCCGCACTCCACGCAGGGGGCCGGGGCCGCCGCCGAGGACGCCTTCTCGGCGGAAGAGGAGACAATTTTTGCCATCCTGGGACCCGGCATCGCCGCGGGGACAGGTGCCTGGGCGGAGCAGCCTGCAGGAGGCGCCTCCTCACAGCCTCCAGCTCCTGGCGCCCAATTCCAACGCCACGAAGAAGACCGCAGGGAGGAGCGACCTACAGGTGAGTTCCTTAACAAGACAAACTCTTGTTGATGCCTGACACCCGGTCAAGCGGGTAACTACGCTCATCAGATCCTTACTGCCATAATATGGGATGGATACTGTGATAGTCCCAGTTTACAGAAGGGAAAACTGAGACTCGGAAAAATGAAATGATTACTGTCAGAGTAAGGAGTGAGACCAATTAAGTCCTAACTCCAAAGTCCCCAGAGAGGACCATTGTCATATCAACATCACACATTTGAGGAGCAGCTAGCATGTGGTGCAAAGGGTAAAGTACTCTAGATGCTGACCAAGATTGGTGGTTGAGACCCCCACCAGGAGCGAGAGTTGGGACTAGTCAGGAAACCCCTTTGACGTGGGGTGTTTGGTTATATTTCTTCTGTCATGCTTGAAAAATGGAGAGAGAGCTCAAGAGAGTAAGGTTCTCCATGAGATGGATTGATTCAGTGACTGGGGTTATGAGGGTAGGTGTGTCAGAGACAGTAAGATTGGCAGGTTTCAGGGCTATTGACATAGGGTCACTATGAGTCACAGGCAACTTGATGGCACATAACAACAACAACTTGGGGGGTCGCTGTCAATCAAAATTTACTCGAAGGCACTGTACAATCAATACCTTGTGCCAAGTGTGGTGCTAAATTCTCTAATGGCAGCGTCTCCGGGACACGCCTTTGGTAGTGCAGGGCTGTGACACTGAAGACAGACTTATTTGGGCTCATATAGCAACTTGACTGCTCATCTGTACCACCCTGGATGGAATTTAAAAGTGGAATGGGCCTCACTCACAGCGACCCAGCAGGCAAGGTCAGACTCAGGACAACGGCCCCTCACTTTCCAAAGCTGTCGAATTGCTGACCGCAGACTGCTCTTTCTCCCTGGAAGGGGTTGCTGGGTTCAGGTTGTCCCCCCATTTCATTAGCAGCTGAACGTTTAAAGCAGTGTACCACCAGGGATCTTTTTTTGTAAGTTACAGCACTTCAGTTTCTGCAGCTGTAAAATGGGGGTATGGTGGCACAGTGGTTAAGCATTCCTCTGCGAACTGGACCTAAAGAGCCTTGGAAACCCAATGGGGCAGTTCTGTGTCCTATAGGGTCACTATGAATTGGAATTTATTCAAGGTTAATTAGGTGTTTTGCTTTGTGGGTTGATGTGGTTTTGTTTTTGTTTTAGGTAATGGGCTTTTAAGATGATGATAAAAATAGTCTGCACCTCAAAGGGTTGTTGGGAGGATTAAATGTGTTAATTTTCATAAGTTGCTTTGCATAGAGCCTGGTAGATGCTGGAGGTTTGTATTAATGGCAAGATCTCTGCTGTGAGGCAGGTATACTGTTTCACGGTTTTATAAAAGACTGAGGAGTTTGGTTATTTCCAAAGGTCACATCCTGAGGAATAGAGGCATAAAAGCTGAGTGCAGTGCCCTTGTGTTTAACCTTGACTCTGAATTATTATTTCTTCCAAAGCTGATCTCTGCTTTAATTTAAGTGACTTGAGTTATCCCCTGCCCTGTCTTTGTGGGGCACACAGTCCTGTAGGGGAGACACAGCTGTCCCCAGATAGGGGTTAGGAGAGTCCAGAGGGGATGACCCAGCCTGGGAGGTGAGGGAGGGCTTCCTGGAAGAGGAGATGTCAGAACTGAGATCTCCAATAGAGAAACTCTGAAAGATCTGGGAAACTATTTTTGGTAGAATGAACAACAGCAGCTTGGAGGCAAAAGATCTTGGCCAGTTTAAGAAGCTGAGGGAAGTTCCTGGGTTTGGAGGGGACATGGAAGATAGGAAAGTTAAGATATGACTAGATACGGGGGCAAGGGCTTAAGCTAAGCTGAGGAGCCGTGATGGCACAGTGGTTAAGTACTTAGCACGTAACCAAAAAGGAAAGGGATTCAGACCCACCAAGCATTCGGTGAGAGAAAGATGAGTCAGTCTCCAGTCAGGATTCAAAGCTTTGAAAACTCTATAGGAGAATAGTTTTACTCTGTCTCATATGGTTATATACTTTGGGCATGGTGTCAAGAGGGGTCAGCTATTGGAAAAGGACATCATGAGGAATAGCACTGCGTAAAAGGAATCTATGATTAGGTGTTATTTGATGACAACAGTCCAGAATAAGAACTGCATACATAGTAAAGTGAATTGGGGTGGAAGGGAATTGTACAACAATGAAATATTTTTTTTTCAAAGAGAAAAGAGAACTGGGGGAGGGGTGGGTAGGGAGGAAGATGTGCAACAATGAGTGAATGGAAATCCAAGTTCTCTAAACTTGCTTTAAAAATCTCAATTTTTTTTAAAAAAAGGGACATCATGGTTGGGAAGTTGGAGGGTCAGTGAAAGAGAAAGACCCTCAATGAGATGAGTGATACAGTGACTACAGCAGTGGGGGCAGCAGAGACCAGCAGGATTGGGCAGAGCATTGTGCATGGAATTGCTTTGAGTCACAGTGACCGTGACAGCCTGTAACAATGTCATATGGTCACTATGAGTTAGAATCAAGTCAGTGGCAGTGAAGGGTTTTGATAGGAAGGAGTTTGGATTGTGTCTAATACTGTGGGTAGGCACTAAAGGGTTTTGAGTAAATGCATGTTTTGAATAAACATATGGGCATAAACAGACAAGGCGGTTCAGGGTCCTGTTATTCAGAGAAGGTCATTAATTCACCCAAGGTCATACAGCAAGTTAATAGAACTCCTAGTCAGGACACTTTAACCTCCATTCTAGATTTCCCAGTGGTAATATCGGCTCTTCATATTAACTGATAGATAATGCCAGCAGGAGATCATGCATGGTTGGAAGTCAAGGTCAAGACTTTGGACTTCATCTTGAGGACATCTGGGAGGCAAGAAGGTGTCTTAAGCAGAAGAAAGGACACAACCATTTGACCCCTTATCCCCAGTTTGAAGCAAACCTCAGTGTTTCTATCTGTGAAATGGCCCCATTGAAGTAGAACAAGAATTTTAAAGTGATTTGTTCAAAAGTTGCACCGCGCCTTCCTTCCAGCTGTCCTTCATTTATTCATTCCACAGCTATTTCTTGAGCATCTATTCTGCAGCAGGCACTGGAATGTTGTTCCTGAGTGTTGTCGGTCTAGTGAATTCCAGATCATAATTGACCCCATGTGACGAGAGGAGACTGTCCCATAGGTATTTTTTTACCGTAATCTTTATGGAAGAAGGCCAGCTCTTTCTCCCAAAGAGCTGCTGGTGGATTCGACCGTGAGAGAGGGCAGCTGCCTAGGGACTGACTATACCATCAGAGCGAGCTCCCTCTGCCCCACATTGTCTGGTCTCTAAGAATCAGAATAAATCAAATAGCAGTGGGTGTGGGTTTGGGCAGTGGGTTTGATTGTAAGGGAGGTTCACCAATCCCCAACTCCCCATCCTCCCCTAGACCCCTGCCTAAAAAGTAGTTAAATGGGGGTGAGGGAAGATCTAGACCATGCTCCTTGGGTAAACCAGATGATCCCTGCTAGCATGGTCCATAGCAAATTGCACTTCTAACCATCCACGCTGCACCAATGGCCACGCATCCCTGGAGGTTCAAATCCACCAGTAGATCCAAGGGAGAAAGATAAGTCTCTTCCCACCTGGGAACTGCAGTGGAAGGTTGCTACGAGTCAGAAAGGACAGCACTCAGTTTCAGTTTAAGACTAAGCAGAAAGTTGGTGGTTTGAACCTTACCACCTGCACCATGGAAGAAAGGCCTGGCAATCTGTTCTCCTAAAGATGACAGCCAAGAAAACCTTGCTGGAGCAGTTTCACTCGGATTCCCACAGAGTCACCACGAGTAGGGACTAATTCAATGGCAAGGCGTTTGAGTTTGGCTTCCAGAGAGAGCCTGGCTTCACATCCCTCCTTCTCCCTCTTACCAGCTCTGTGACAATCCCTCTCTAGGCTTCAAGTCATCTCATCTGTAAAATGAGAGTGATAATTATTGGAGCCCCAGTGGTATAGTAGGTTAAGTGTGAGACTGCTAGCCAAAAGGTAGGCAGTTCAAACCTACCAGCTGCATTGCAGGAGAAAGATGAGGCAGTCTTCTGTTAGGATTTACCACCTCAGGAACTGGATGGAAGTTCTCTATGAGTCGAAATCAACTCGTTGGCAGTGAGTTTAGTTTGGAGAAGATCTGAACCCGCAGCATGGCTGGAAGCCAAGTCACTTCTGACACCTAGAGACCTCTCCATTAACAAGAGCAATTTGCCTCCTTTTTCTCCTGTGGAGAACCCTGTGTGTGAGCACCCCAATATGTATGGAACCCACTATGCCACTAGGACTCCTTTGGTGAGGAAGAGCATCCAGTGTTACCTGTGGTCATCACTCTCTGCCTGTGTGGTTGGCTGAAGGAGATTAAACCCCAGCATTAAAGGCAGGAAGTTACTTTTTTTTTTCTTTTTCTTTTCTTTTTTTTTTAAAAGAGCAGGTGAGCCAATTTGACCTCAGAGGGGAAGGATGAGAAAGAAGCATTCTTGCAGGAGCTGTCCAGGTCCTGGTGCTGAAAGAAGGAACTCAACATAGGTGGGGACAGCATATACAAAGGCCCTGAGGCAGGGAAAAGGAAAAAGGGGAAAAAATACACAACCAAGAAAGAGGGGGGGGAGGGCAAGAGCTTAAACATTGTTGTTTGGGGTGTGTTTTTATTTAATTGTGATTTTAATGAAAGTTTACAGAAAAGTTTGATTTTCCGTTATTCCTTCTTGCACATTTTCCTCCTTCTTCCCTTCCCCACCCCCAATTAATATATTTTTTAAATAAATATTCATTCATTGTTACATACATTTCCTCCTTTTGCCTGCCCCAATCCAGTTTGCAATCCACCTCTTATTCTGGGCTGTTGTCAAACATATACTACCTAATCATATATTCCTTTTAAATAGTTCTTTCCTTCATTTGCTCATTATGCAGTGTTCATTATCATTCAATCTTTTTCTAGTTTCCCCCCAACTCCCTCATGTTAAGTCCTATTTTATAACAGTAGTGTTTTATATACTATTCGTCCTTTGGTAATTGAGATTTTTCCCTCAGCATAATGTCCTCCACGATCATCCATATTATGTAATGTTCTATGAGTTTATTGTTTTTCGGTGCTGCATAGTATTCCATTGTGTGGCTATACCATTGTTTTCCTGTCCACTCATTTGTTGATGTAAACCCTGTGATTTTGAGGAGAGCTGGACTTTCTCCTTTGGGTACTGGGCAAAGACCTGAGACGTTGCACCAAATCAGTGCAAATCAGACTTTCTGGAAGCCAAGGTTTGATGGTTTGGTTGTTTTGTGTTTGTTTGGCTTTTTAATTAAAAAAAGTTCTGAAGGGAGCTCTGGTGGACTAGTGGCAAGAAGCTGCACTGCAATCCCAAAGGCACATGGTTTGAATCTACCAGATGCTCTGCTGGAGAAGGAGGGGCAATCTCCTCTTGTACCAGTCAGATCCAATTTGACAATACACACACACACACACACAAATAATAAAA